TATTAAAAATAAAATGCAATTCTGAAAAAAATCATCTACATAATACACTGTTTCCCAATTCTGCTCAGGAGGAACACTGTATCTTCTGGTTTTTGCTCCTGAAATGTTCTTAATCAAAAGCTGATGGATTTCAGTTTTCTATCTGGAGCATACTGTATTTATAAATATGCTTCCAGGCTTAAGAGGTCAAATGGGATTTTTAATAAGCCTCAACTCTGTTCAAAGTTCTGAGTATCAGAGCTGCCCTCATTCAGATGTGCTGCCTGAAATGTATCCAATTCTGCAGAAGAAAACAATTGTGAGCATGTCTGATATAGAGTCTTTCCCACTGTAGGTGTGTCTGATACAGAGTCACTCCCACTGTAGGTGTGTCTGATACAGAGTCAATCCCACTGTGGATGTGTACGATACAGAGTCACTCCCACTGTGGGCGTGTCTGATACAGAGTCACTCCCACTATGGGCATGTCTGACACAGAGTCGCCCCCACTGTGGGTGTGTCTGGTACAGAGTCACCCCCACTGTGGGCGTGTCTGGTGCAGAGTCACTCCCACTGTGGGCGTGTCTGATACAGAGTCACTCCAACTGTGGGTGTGTATGATACAAAGTCACACCCACTGTAGGTGTGTCTGATACAGAGTCACTCCCACTGTGGGTGTGTCTGATACAGAGTCACTCCAACTGTGGGTGTGTCCGATACAGAGTCACTCCCACTGTGGAGTTAATACATCATTCCCACCTGATGTTCCCAACAGAACAGAACTGTGTCTGCTCATCAATTGATCATTTAGCAAGGGTTGTTTGATCAGAAACCACAGCGAGCACGTTGAGGACATGCTGTGAAACGTTCTGAGGTGCTGAGGTTGTGGGAAGCAGAACCCTTGACGCCGGGTACATCTGACACTCAGGACTGACAGAAGAAACAAGGTAAATAAAAGCCTTAACATCCAAGGAGACCAGTCAGCACTGGGATGGGGCCAGCAGACACAGTGTTGTCCCGGAGCAGGCCTAGGAAGCTCCTGCAGGATTATCCTGGAAGCCCGAGCCGTCGCCCCCTTGCCTTTTCGTAAGCGGCCTCGTAGCCGTCGGGGTTCATGGAGGGCAGGAGGTGGATGCGCGTCTCCTCGACCAGCCGCACAACGCGCGGGTTCCCCCTCTTGTACTCGCGGCACATGTACTGCATCAGGTTGAGCAGGAGCTCGCGGCCCAGCGCCTCGTTCCCGTGCATCCCGGCCACGTAGCGGAACTCCGGCTCTCCTGCGGGGACCCAAGCCCAGAGGCAGCTGCTCAAAATCCAGGCCAGCAGAGCTTCAGGCTCACCCTTCATGTAAGACCCCAGACGCAGGGAGCGGGGCTCCAGGAACAGTGTCTTTACTCCGTTATCAAAATCCTCATATAAATCTCTTTATCATAGACGGGAAAGAGATATATTCCTCCAGCAAGAAGGCAGCCTTGGACATTATTGGGAGTAATCTGAATTTGGCTTCGAAGAATAGGACTTACCTAAGACCTCAGAGTTGGTTTTTAAAGTGTATTTCTGATGCCCCTAAGTATATTTTGTGTTCCCAGGGAGCCACATACACATTGTTTCAGCTGGTCTGGGAGTGCACAGATATTTGAGAGCCCGGAAATGTACCTGGTGGCACTTGCTATATTTTTTTTGTGTCATGGTGACCAACATTGTTCACAAAATTCTAAACAAGAAGTTAGTAATACATTGTACAATTTGAAGATCTCATGCTTTGATTTAAATTTTGCACTAATAATAATTAATAATAATAAAAAACTTAATCTTATATAGCGCCTTTAAAGGTGGCTTCTCAAAGCGCTTTACAGAATGATCCCAACATTTTGTATGTCTATTTATTGCTTCCTCACATTCACCAGAAGATGAACATGGTGTGACAACATAAACATAAGTCTTTATGTTTATTATATTATATTATTATATTTTGTGTGTTTATGTTGATTAATTCTTTATGCTTACTATACCAGAATCTAGGTCATTGATAAAAACTGGGAAGAGCAGTAGTCCTAGTACAGACCCCTGTGGTACTCCCCTAATTGTACTTTCCCAGGTGTAGTATTCACCCACTAATTTGTACTCTGTTTTCTATTAATTAACCAGTTCTAAATCGTTGCAAATACACACATTTATTTGAATGCCTATTGCCTGCAATTAGAGAATTAGAATTATTTTTAGGAGAAACTTTATCTTCTGAAAAGCTACACTAAATAACATTATGTGATTACTATTTGGCTTATTGAACAGGGACAGAGCACAGCTCTTTAACTGCACCAGAGTTAAACAGCTCATTTCTGTTGGTGTTTGATCACAGAAAGTTATTTAAGGAAAACCTGCATTTTCTAAATCTTTGTTGACAAACCCCCAGAATCTAATTTCTATATGAATGATCCTGTAGCTTGAGTAACCTTGTCAGTTTGGTTGATGTAATCATTGATACCACATTTTCTAATAATTTGTTTTCTTGCCAAAAGTATAGTTGTTCAGTTCCTCGCAAAGGGGGTTGGTTTTTAAAGGGAAATACATGTAGTATTATATTATTTCTTATTAAAATTGTAATCCACTTCAATTTATATAAAGACAAATATATTGTTCCACCAGAACCAGCCCACTGCCCTCAGTGCCTGCAGTAGGGTTTGCACAGAAATGTATGTCTGCCCCTTGTTGAAGCAATGAAAACTGTTAGTCCTGTATACCAGAGATGGGTGAAGCTCATGCTGTTGGAGCATCACAAGGCAGTAGTGTGATACTTTCTGTTTGGAGTTATTTTTGGATTCAGAGGCCTGAAAGTTGCAGGTTAAACACTTTTTTTTGCTAGGGCTGCCCAAGGTTTGACTGCCAGCCTATATTCAGAATCAAAGCCCACTATGATTTCAATGGCCTTTTTTATTAGTTGGTTTTACACTAATCTCATTCCTCCACGGGCTGGCTGTTCTCAGGCTGGTTGGAGAACTGGTTATGAACACATCTTTCCTGCCTGTTTCAAAGGATGAAATACCTTCATCCAGCTCACTGAACATACAGTAACCCAGTTTTAAAAATAAAAGTTGTTTTTAAACCATCCTCTCTTCAATTTAAAGCCTAATCATGTTAAATAATAACTTTAGTGTTATCCACAGCTACGATGACTTTGCTAGCCAAATTCAGCCTTTCCAGCAAGGCTTAAATCAAGATTCCTGTGTATTAAAGAGGGGAGGGCTTAAAAGCTTGTTTTCAATCAGTGTTAAAGCACACATGACTAATTCATGTCTATATTTTGACCTCATCTGGAGCTGGTTAGAAATGATGTTGTGATAAACCTCCAGAAAGCTTGCAGTGGCTTAGATGAGTTCAGCTCAGCTGCCAGGGCACCCTCTTTCTGATCATGCCTGACAACACTGCCTGTTAGACCTGCTCACGGCCATTAGCAAAAGGCACCATGTCCTCTGCTCAGTCAAACCATGTCCACTGTGGTCCTGCCTCATTAGATCCAGACAGGAGTATCGCTTAATAGTAGTAGTAGCAGTAGTAATAATAATAATAATAATAATAATAATAATAATAATAATAATAATAATAATAATAATTCCAACAGCAATAACAGCTGGAATGGACAGAATTCCTGGAGGCTGCACAGTGGGTTGAAAGTTTGGCTATTTACTGTACATTTCTTTCTGACGGTTTTAAAATTCATCTCCATTTCTACTGTCTATGTTTGCCCCAGAAAGTGTTTGTGTATGAAGCAATACAAAGTAGCTTCTAGCAGCCTAACAAGCACAATCCTCTCATCTGTAACCATTCCTATGTGCTACAGCACACCAAGGACAGAAGGAAAGCCTTATTCTGCAGTACCTGGATGTGGTTCATAAAGGACACCTACTGTATATTACATCCTACAAAAGCTTCTTAACGATGAGTATGAATTCTTCTTGGAGACAATGTACAAGAAGCGGGAGTCGATACGCCATGACTGCACCACAGTCTTTGTACACATGGTGGCGGAGAGCAGGCCCAGCCAGCACCCGCGCTGCAGCGTCCATGTGCAGGACGCAGGCCTCATCCACTCCTGGCTACCGCTACTGGCTCAGGGATGGCAGTCCAGACAGAGCCCGCATTCAGAACAAGAGGAGAAAGTGCAAGCAAGAGGAGACCATTTGGCCCTTCTAACTCATCTGATCTGACCACTCGTAGCTAATTGAGCTGAACATTTCAACCAGCCATTTGTTGGAAGGAGCCAGGACATCGGCTTGTTCCAGACTCCCACATGTCTTTATGGAAAAGGGTTCTATTAATAAATCATACAGCAGGAGGTACAGACTTCTGCATGCCTGTATAGGCTAACGGACTGTCTATACAGGTTTTTCTCTTACAGATACATGAAAAACAAAGTTACTAGAAACTAACATAAATCTTTCAGCATGCAAATTTAAGAGTCTCTTACAACACTTCTGTCTACCCTTGGGACATTTTGATATAATAAAGACCCAGATTTGTATCATCGTGTCGTGATAAAACTAAAACTTCTTCCATGAGCATGTACAGTAGAATCTGTCCCATTCTTTTTCACAGGGACCTTCTCCATATACACCTCGCTTGCCAGCCTCCTGCTTCTCTCTATTGTCTGCTCTGGCAAGGGGAGGTGTTAACCACTGCCAAACTGGCAAACGGATTCTGCTCATATGCCAATTTTAGTTTGTACTGCAGCCAACACAGACATGAGCTAGCTGGATTAGCGTGTGCATGGAGGTGTGGTGAGCTCACACGCAGAACAGAAAGTGTGAGTTCTCAACCAGAAAGAGAGCTCAATATAAATAATGAAAGAACGTGTGTTACTGTATACTAGTGTCAATGTGCTTCAGGCATATAGCTCAGAGTCTATATCACCCAGAAACTCACCACTGAAGCTAAGCAGGTGTGAGCCTGGCCAGTACCTGGATGTGAGACTCCTGGGAAAGCTAAGGTTACTGCTGGAAGAGGTGTTAGTGGGGCCAGCAGGGGGCGCTCACCTTGTAGTCTGTGTGGGTCCTAATGGCCCAGTATAGTGACAGGGGCAATATACTGTAAAAAGTCACCGTCCTTCAGATGAGACGTGAAACTGAGGTCCTGACTCTCTTTGGTCATTAAAAATTCCAGGGCGTTTCTCAAAAAGAGTAGTGGTGTAACCCTGGCATCCTGGCCAAATTTCCCATTGGCCTTTACTAATCATGGCCTCCTAATAACCCCCAATCTCTGAACTGGTTTAATTACTCTTCTCTACTCCCCCCGATAGCTGGTGTGTGGTGAGCGTTCTGGCGCACTATGGCTGCCGTCGCATCATTCAAGTGGATGCTGCACACTGGTGGTGGTGGTGGAGGGGATCCCCATTACCTGTAAAATGCTTTGAGTGTTTGAGTGGAGTGTCCAGAAAAGCACTATATAAGTGTAAGGAATTATTATTATTTTGATAATTTGATAACAGGGTAAATGCGAATCTTCAAAACAAATGCTTTAATGTCAATGTAAAATAACCATATATAAATCTATATAGTAAACATTTCACAGTATGTATTCTATTATACAACAGTATGTAGTAATATATTGCTGGTTATGTCCCATGGAGTTTTTGCAAAAACTAAAAGATAAAAGGAGCACAAGCATTCTACAGCGGGATGTGGCAGGAACAGCCCTGAGAGCAGAGCCCTTGTTGCGTCAGGTTCGAATCAGGTCACGATAGCAGCTTTGACCTGAACTGATGCCACACAGAGAACCATGTCTGCATGGCAGACTCAAACATGTCCATGTTGGCTTTTTCCAAAATAATTACCAATGAAACTACATGTTTATGTTATGTTATTTCAACCCTTTTGTAAGCCCTGTGCAGAACCTAAACTGAATCTTCAGATAGAATTTAGAATCTTTAATAGGTACTGTATACAGTACATTTTGTATCTTAGCAATTCTCAAGTGCTAAAATTGCATTATAATACCACAAGCAGAGCGCCAGTTGTTCCTAAAAACCGTATCTCTCACCTAATTCGTGCTTCCCTGGGTTATCAGAGATCTCCATGACGTACAGCTTGAAACCCATGTAGCTCTTCCCAATGCTGTAGATGCGAGTGATGTCAGGGCATTCCTCAGTCACTTCTTTCATGAGCTGGCAGAAGACAAGTGAGCAGATCAGGTACTTTCAATGTAGTCTACCCTTCAAGCACACAGACGTGAGTTACAAACTGTTCATCTGGGTTCCCGCGGCTTCTGCAATGCACTGTAGAAACGCTGAAGTCACTGGTACTGGAAGGGTTAGCAGATATGCACAATATTTCACTTTATTTGTCAAGGAAACTAAATGGATTAGATCAGGGCTGGTCTTAAAAACTGCCTCAGTTATGCCTCAGTGTTAATACAATGATCAAACAGGCCATGATGAAAATATGCTGAGCAGTGAAATTCCTGAGTCTTCATAATGGGAATTATACATGCTGTATGGTTGTTCAGTAAAGATCAGTAAAAACAATCAATAGAATGCCCTCTTGTGGTCATTGCTGGCACAGGTAATACTGACTACACATTTGCTGGTAGTGTAATCCATAAACTGTTGTTACCGCACCTATCAGAAACAATCCTCATTTTTCAGGATTTAAGAAAGTGGAAAAAGGCATTACCGATCTTGAAAACTCAGTATCTCCGTATGCCGTTTTGTTTGCTGTAAAAATCTTGATGTATCCAAATGTATGCCTCAATATTTTTGAGCTGAATGTGTGCATATACAGTATCAGCAGACCACATTTACAATAAGTCCCCATCGCTCCCATTCCTGTTTCATTGTTGATTTCCTGATTTTGTGAAACAAGGTTGTATTTTCTAAACTAATTTTCATATAATTACAATTTAGAAAACACTATTGTCCGAGGTGACTAACATAATCATAGTTTGTAAGAAATTTGATAAGACCTAAAAATTTCATAGTCAAATAACATACATCCAAGAACGCAAGATTATATATAATCAGTTACAAATATGTTGTTAGTACTGTCATGTGTATGAATCTAATCAGACTTCTAGTGCATAACACGATTACGCTGAGCACAGTTTAGTGAGGAAAGCTGGTTTTTAAAGCATGCCTATGAAAACAGTGGTCAAATATTTGGTCTGTGGAAGACCTCAGTCTCTGTTGATCCACTAAAGCCACAAAACACCTACTGCCATTGGGATTTGAGATCTCCTTACCTGATTTTCTTTACTTTAGTTACTGTTTTCCCTTTCCAGTTGAGGCAAAATTCATACAGAAAGATGTTTTTGTGGCCACTGTTTGGTCAGTTCATCACAGCTAATACACGACGATGCTAACTGCCACAGTCTGGGGTTGTGGGAGTCTGGAAAAAGCTACCCCACCACCTAATACCCAGCCCTCCTTGTGGAAAATGCTGAGTGAGATCAATAAACTACTAACTACCAAACAGGCTAGACAGGCTGGATGGCCTCCTCTCATCTGTAGCCATTCTCATGTTCCTGATTACAGTATGAAGGCCTATTTCATCCTATTAGGCTACTGTACATACGACTGTTAGCAACAGGGCTAGAATTTTTCTTTTATGCAGTGTAGCTGAGAAACAAGACCAAGACTACTTCAGATCATAAAAACCGAATTAAGCCATTATTTCATAAAGAAAAAGAATGTTGTTTGAATACTGAAGAGGGTGGCACGGTGGCACAGTGATTGGTGTAGCTGCCTTGCAATGCTGGGGTTCCGTGTTCAATTCCTGACCTGGGACGTTATCTGTGGGGAGTTTGTATGTTCTCTCTGTGTTTGCGTGGGCTTCCTCCCACAGTCCAAGGACATACTGGCCCTGATGTGAGTGTGTGTGTGTCTGTGTGTGTGTGTGTGCCCCCTGATGGACTGGAGGCCCGTCCTGGGTGTGCCCCCTGATGGACTGGAGGCCCGTCCTGGGTGTACGCTGAGATAGACTGGCTCCCCCATGACCCATATTGGATAAAGAGTTATGGATGGGCCGATGGGCTTCTTACATATACAGCATATAATCTAAACAAATGAAACACATCGGACAGTAGGAATCAGCTGAAATTCTCCGCTTCTCTGTGAGGCTCCCTCACCTTTCTCATCTCCTTGTAGTTGTGGTGCCGGAAGTCCAGTTTGTCCGCGGAGCCCTGCTCACTCTCCCAGGTGTAGATATTGTTTGGATCTGAAGGGAGAGAGGGGAATAATGATTGGCTCTCGGTGCTGTTGATAACAGCTGCCAAGATGCAGAGAAACGCAGCGTCCGGCAGCTCTCAGGAGGTCACGCACTGGCCAGCGGGCAGGGAGGGAGTACCTGGCAGAGGGCAGCCCAGGACCTCTGCGCGCAGACACACTGTGCCGTTCTCGTACCAGGTCTGAGGGTTGATGCGGATGTAACGCGCCACCACTGGCTGCGGCAGGGCCGCCAGGACAGGCGTTTCTGCATCAATGTTGCCTTCAAATATCTGGAGGAGGAAACGTGGAAATGGCTGATAAATACAGTATAAGGATTTAGGGACTGTTCTGGACTGCAAGTTAAATTTGGAGACAAACGCTGACCCTATTTTCTTCAAAGGGCAAGACCGTCTATTTTTCTTAGGAAAGCTTAAGCATTTTAAGATTGATAATCCATCGTTGATCATGTTTTTATGGGTCTTTTATTGAAACTGCATTATGTTTCGCCCTGGTCTGCTGGTTTGGGAATCTGAACAGTGGAGTGAGGAGTCTGAACAGACCGGGAAGTCTTGTCGAACTCAGAAAGTCACTGGTGCTGATCTTTCGGCTCTGTCCCACGTCTATGAGTTATGAGTTTTATGTGAAGCATATTCCACCCTGGAGAACCCTTCACACCCTTTGTTTCACGAGTTCTAATTACTCCTCCCAGAATGCAGACACATCCATCCATCCATCTTCACTCCAGTTTTCCCAGTGAGGTCACAGTTGCAGCAGACCAAGTAGATCAGCCCGGACTTCCCGGTCCCCAGCAACAGATTCCAGCTGCTCCTGGGAGATCCCCAGGCGCTCCCAAGCCAGCCGAGAGAGATAAACCCTCCAGCAGTGAGACGAGCACGGAACAGCTCCAGAGGAAGCCGACCGAGAGACATCCTTATAAGATGCCAAAACCACCTCTACTGGCTGCTCTCCTTTCTTAATTTAAAAACAAAGAGGTTTGAGTTCTGGTTTATACCAATGGCCATTACTTTGCTCAACAGATGATTCTAAAAAGAGGCAAATTGCCTCTGGGGATAATACAGACTTTCTTCCTGTAGAAAATGATTACTGCCTGTTATGCATAAGCCCATGCTTCTCCCTTAAGTGATGGTAGAAGTGACAGAGGAGGTGAAAACTTTGTTGAGCTCTTTTCCTGACTTTTGATGTTTCCTACAGACTCTGAAGAAGCCCATGGGGAGAACAGAAATCTGACAGAAACCAGGCCTAATAAGGTTATGCGCTCCGTAAGTTAAGAAAGGGCTGCATGCACTGTGGTAAGAAAGCAACAGAAATCTTTTTAGACGCGCTCTGCCACAGTTATTGCTGAGCACTGGCCAGTGAGACTCTCTGGCTGCCAAGGGGAACTGAACTAATCAAACATCTGGCCTGTACCCAGCTGCTCCACTGCTAGGGAAGTCAGGGCCAGGCTGGCTGTGCTGTTTGCAATGATTTTTTCTGTATCAGAAGCACCAGGGCTGTTGGCTGATTATCCACTTATCCATTCAGCGTGTTTTTCTCAGACACTCTGCTTCTCAAATGACGCGACAGCATGTTCTTTCCATTGTCGAGTAAGAAGCTCCGATTCGTCTGTCCACTGTGCAACATCAGACATGCCAACTCATTCTGGGTGAAAGCAGGCAGTGCTTACATTTTGAAATTGAAATGTGGGTTTTATTATCATCCAGCATCATGATGCCAAAATCTACAATCTGACAATGCATCTTATTTGACAAAACTGACAAAATGTGATGCTGCAAAGGAACAAGTGAAGGTTAATTTCACTCCGAAAAGTAGAAAGCAGAGACACGAGGTTTCGGTTGTTGTGAATCCCTCACTTCACGCACACCTGAAGAAGGGCCAGCAGCTGAAACCTCGTGTTTCTGTTTGGTTCTTTTCTTTTTTTATATTTCCAGCGTGGAATTTGATTTCACTTGCTCATTCGCTGCCAACGCAGACAGATGGAGTTCAACCCTCCAAAATATTAGGCTAAAGCCTTAATGGCAAACTTTGAAAAGAAAACAGACGGAAATTCCTATGTGATTCAAGGGCTTCGGAAATCCCAAATATCTGGTGAGGTGATAACTCCCCAAAAAGCCGGCGTACTTACAGCCTCCTGGGTGCCGTTCATGCTTGGGGTCCAGGTGTACGTGTCATTACTGAACTGGACCTTGTAGGTGTGGACCCAATCCCAGCTACGACAAGTGGGAACAAGGCACAGACATGGAATCTGTCACATTTCAAAACCTATGCTCCCTCTTATTTGACAAACTCAAACTTCATGTACTCAAATGCTCACATTATGTTAAAGGCCAGTCACTGTGTGCTGCCTGCTCAATGTAACCCTAGAGGGAAAATCTCAGGAGGCATAC